ACATCCTCGTGTTTTAGAGACAGTTTTAATTGGAAGTATGTGAAAGGCATTGTTTTATCTTTTTGTAGTACTTAGGCTGCGGTCACACGTAACAGAAGCCACACAAGTGAGACGGAAAACAGCCGGAGTTTCCGGGCGCAATCTCACCAGCACATCTGGGAAGCGTAGCACTCCCGTGGCTCAACCGAGGCTTCCAGCCGAAACTGCGTGGCAAAAAACTAGTACCTTGGAGGTACTAGTTTCCGGAAACTGCGGGGCAAGGGCGGACGTCTGATCGCGTTTCCGGTGGCATCCGGCGCCCACCCATGTCCCCTTGCAAATAAGGTGTTTTTTTTTTGTCCAAGTCTCTGTGGATGCGCATGCGCACCCAACGGAGCATGCGCATTTGTCATGTACACAAAAATAAAAAACAGTTTGCCGCGGCGCGCGCTTCTTCGTTGTGCGCTGGCTTGTCTTGTGATCGGCACCTCTCCCTTGCCATGGAACCTCCACGGTACCTCCACAGGAGGTCTGATCACGTAACTGCGCAGTAGTTTGCCCCAGGGCAAACAGCCACGCTTCTCCTCTGCAGTTTCCTGCCCGTGTGACCGGGGCCTTAGAGATATAAGCACTTGCTTTAAAGAACAGAGAAATATAAAGTTAAGGCTGAACACATGTACATGAACACACTTGAAGCTGCTTTATACTGAATCAGACTATTGGTCCATCAAGGTTAATATTGTCTACTAAGACTGGCAGCAGCTCTCCAGGGTCTCAGGTGAAGGTCGTTCACAGTACCTGCTGCCTGGTCCTTTTAGCTGGAGATGCTGGGGATTGAACCTGGGACATTGTGCATTCAAAGTAGAGGCTCTTCCACTGAGCTACAGCCTCTCCCCCATAGGCCGTTCCTATACTTATTGCATGGAAGAATGGGGAAGAAACACTACTTTTCTACACCACCTTGTTAATGAGGATACAAATTGTCAAAACATATTAAGTTTTTAACTCAGAATAATAATCACAAGATCCAGTATCAAAGCAGAATAGTGGCTTTCATGGTGATTGAGGAAAATTGTGCTCATTTGTACCTAGGAATCTTATAGAATAAAGCTCTGCTTCTGAAAGATGACACAGCATTTGCTGAAAAGCTAATTTTTGGTCAAAACCTTTTAGTGCCAATTGCTATAAGATGATGTATAGATGGTATATGACACCAAAAAAGATAGCAAATATAAGTAGTAATATGTCAAACAAATGTTGGAAATGTAAAAAAGTAGAGGGTTCGCTCTACCATATGTGGTGGACTTGTGATAAAGCAAAAAACTTTTGGACTGAGGTCCATACAGAGATGGAGAAAATTATGAAATGTAAAATTAAGAAGGAGTTTGAAATGCTACTACTGGGACTTAAAATGGAAGAAGTCAACATTGCAAAACGAACTTTAATGTGGTATATGATTACAATTGCTAGAATGACATATGCTCAATGCTGGAAACAAGAAAGAACTCCACAAATTTGGGAGTGGTTAAAAAAGTTACTCTTTATGGTTGAAATGGACAAAATGACAAGAAAGCTTAAGAATCAAGAAGCGGAAGAATTCTTTGCAGACTGGAAAGACCTTAAAGAATATTTAGAGAAATATTGGGATGTGAAAAATAATCTATTTTGCTTTGATAATTATTGAAGATAGAAGGACATTTAGAATAAGTTTAAATATATAAGAACAAAAGTTAAAGGTTATGTTACCTGAAGAATTTTATTATTGAAGAAGGGAAAAAAAGAGGGGGAAAATATAAGAGTTGGACTGGAGGTTGGAGCACAGCGGGAAGTCAGAAGGGGGGGGGGATACTAGGAGACAAGGATATAAGATAGTTTGTAAGATGATGTATAGTTTGACATTGATATATCCTAATAAAATGTGTTTTTTTTTAAAAAAAACAAACCTTTTCGTGCCAGATGAGTTGTACAGAATGTGCTTTAGATCAAGAATATGCTTTGTAAGTACTTACCTCTATCAGTCTCACTGTGCCTTATCATAAAATGCATTGTCACCTTTCTGGGGAAAAGATGGAATTTGGAATTCTTCTGCTGCTGTAAGATCTTGGTTACAGTTTGACCTTTATAAAAATTCCTTTGGGAGTGTGTATCTTGATTTCCCGCTGTTTTACATACATGACACTTTGCCATATATGTGATGCAGTCTGATCTAATTGAGCCCCCCAGCCCCACATTCTTCCTACACTTGGCAATAAGGTATATTTGCTGGCACAGAACACTATAGATCTTATAAGTCCTTCAAGTTAGAAGGTCACAAAGGGATAAGAGAAAAGCAGAAAAATAGCAAAAGGTTCATACTGGAGAGGTTTATGTGGTGCTGGTTCCATTCATTGTTTCTTTGGCAGATTTGCTGGTGGGGGTGGAATAGGAGAGACATCCCCATGAACTAAAACTACAAATATAACCCAATTTTCAATCAAAGTGTAAGCTTTCGAGTTGTGCAGAACTCTCTGGCAGGCTTGCGTGGTACACTACTCATAAACATTCGGATTTGAGGTGAATCCTGCTTCTCCTGTTCGGGGCTTGGAAGAATTATGTAACACAAGGATAAAATACTGCAAACCTGTCCTTGGAGGCGTAATGGAAGCTTGCCTTTTCTTGTTTTAGAAATGTGCTTTTAATTAGAGGTACAAATAACAACTTGCCTAAAGAACTGGAGAGCTTAAACTAGCATTCTTGTTGTGTATGTGTATATAAGGGATGCCTGCTTTCTGGGATTTAGAATGAGTAGGCTAGAAGTTCACTGACTGACATAAATAGGACAAGGTTTTGTTTCTCACCATTTTTCATTGTTGTGGCTGAAGCATAATAATTGGGATAGGCAACTTCAAGATGAACAGCAGTATTTCATTTCCAATTAGCCACAGTCCTCTTTTGTGGATAGGTTTTTGACATATAATGAGAATTCAATAGTAACAAGAATGGAGTTTGTACAGCCTTGAAAACTTGTGCTGTTTTAATTCTGTAACTTTAATTTTGAACTTCAGTACCCATGAAGGGGATTCATGCATTTTTATCTCACCTGTCCTCCAAGGAGCTCATGGCAGCCTATATTTTTCTCACCGCCTCCATGTTATTCTCACAACAGCCCTGTGAGCTAGACTGGATGAGTCATTATCTCTCAGCCTTAATGTTAATCCTGTCAGTTTCATGGAAAGTAGGACTTTGAACCCAGATCTCCCTGGTCATAGGACAACATTCTATCCACTTTACCACAATGGATATAAATAGTTATTCTTTCCCAAGTGGGAAGTGGACACATAACAAATGATGTGGAAGAGCACATAGCAAATCCACTCTGGTTTCTCATCATACAAATCACTGCTGATATTCAATTTCTGACCTACTATATCTTTAAATTTAAAGAAAACATAAAATGCATTTTGTAGTGTTACCTGGGCACATTTTTGATGTTGTATAAAGAAGTCTAAGAGAGCAGTAGTAGTACAAAACAGGTATGCTATGGAATATTTTGATTACTAATGTTAGGCTGTTCAAAATAAAACATCTTTGCTTGATTTCATACATAGCACATTTTTCTGAATTCTATAATAAATATTCAGCTGCCTTGGGTATATGGATTGGCAAAAAAAAAAAAAAAAGATCAGTCCGGGCGCCCCCCCCCCCCCCGGTTCATCCAGGCCCTCCAATGAGTGAGGCTGTTTGCTCTTTGGGGGGAAATGCTCTTTTTTATATACATGTTTTTTTCCCTCCAGAGTGCTCTACAGCGGTGGTGACCACAAATAAGTGACCTTCAGTAAACGAGTATACTTGGAATTATACGAAGAATAATATGCTTAGAAGGTCTTGGTTCAAAGAACAATTCCAGTTTCCAAAATGAGAACAAGCTGTAAAATTTCCTTCAAGGATGCAAGGAAAGCATGTTTTCCTTTCTAATGTTTACTTTTATACAAGGCAAATTACTTGGTAGTCTTAATTACCAGTTAGTTTACAAAACAAGACTAGGCTTTAATGGCTCTATTATATGCTGCTAGGGCTGCATGTATTTCTGCAGTCTCCATAGATAGTTGAGGCCATCTGACCCCTATCTAGTTTAACAGTATAGGCTACTATGCTGCAAGAACTTTTCTATGCACCCTTGCATTTTTTTTTCTAGTTATCCGCTACTGGAACAGGCTGTGCTTCCTAAACTTGCATTCTGTTTCTGTTCCTTTGAAACCCACTTTCTTAGTGTCTCCCCCCCCCCCCCCCAAAAAAAAGTCCAGTGTAGTTCATGTCTTACTGCATCTAATGTTTGCTACTTGGCTGCTATGTTCTCACCAAATATTTTCAACAACTTTTATGGAACTATGTTGTGAATATGGAAACAGCTTATTACTTTGTCTCATACTTCTGATATGAAGGACCATAAAATATGAAAGGCTGATATTTGTTCAATTGTGTTCTCTTTCATTTCTTGCTGTTGTACTGAGGAAGGGGTCATTCATTTGAATATTGGTGACCATGAGTATGAACTGTATGAAGCCACTAATTTGTAGGACATTTTGTTCAAAATGTGCTGGACACTGCACGCTTGATTACAGAGAACATCTTTTGTTAAACAGAAAATCCTGCATAATTTCAAGAGGCCTCTCACCAATAGGAGTTTGATTATGAAATATTCTCAAAGATGGAGTTATATTACTCTTTAAGTCATTAAAAGAGTAATATAACCCCATCGTTGAGAAGTAGTAGTAACATTAATAATAAACATACGAAGCCAATACCTTAAACTAGCCAAGCACTTGGGATTGATGCTGTAATCTAGTTTCTGACATACAGGGCAATTTTAATGCTTTTTTCAGCATGATGATATCAACACACCTTTTCAGCATGATGATATCAACACACCAGTAGTCAAATGTATATGCATTTGTATTGACAAACGGAAGCAAATTGAGTTGATGCATTGTAAAGGGAACTGCAACTCTAAAATTAATAGTGTAATCATTGTCCTCTTCCAGGGATATAATGATAACGTATTTTGAACCTTCCATCTCCTTTGAGGGACTGTGTAATGAAGTTCGAGACATGTGCGCTTTTGATGATGAACAGCTTTTCACCATGAAATGGATTGATGAAGAAGGTAAGTTAATACAAGGCAGAATTACTTCATGAAATACTGTTAATTCCACACAATACTTTTGCTTCTCTTGTTAGTACTGAAGTGGTAAGCATTCTGTTTCCTCTGTATCTTCTGGTTATTTGTGAAGTTATGGAAGTAAGATTTATAACACAGAGCAGCAGTTCTCAAACTTGAGCAACGTTGAACCCCCAGTTTGTTTTTTAAAAATGTACAGACCCTCCAGCACCATGCTACGTCCTTTTTTTCAAAGGGCATATGCAAAGTCACATATACCCCCATGGGGCCTTCTCTCCTCTTGCATTCTCAAAATAATACCATGAAACCATTATTAGCAACGCTTGAAAAGCAGGTTTAAGAAAAATATGTTTTGCAACCTCTGTGCAAGAAAGGAAGGCTGGCAAAGGGGTGGGGGCTCTTGAAACTAACATGAGTAGTTTGAAACTGACAACAGTGTTTCCAAGGCTGGAAAATTTTGCCAGCTATTGCTTTGAAGGTAAACATTTTGTTTGAGGGGAGGCAGTCTGTCTGGGAATGGATCCATCCACAAGCCAGCAGGAACCTCCACAAATAGCTTGAAAGTTTGTGCTGGTTGATCTGCTGCAAACTTCACTTCATGAATCACAAACTGCCCAAAATTTGTCATGAATTTCAGTTCATGAGCCGGTTTGTGCCCATCCCTACATGTGAAAGCTAGGTGATTGCAGGTAACAATGACTCTGTTAGCTTTTACCCTTCAAAAGAAGGGGAAACTGATTCCATCTCCATCCATTGAGGTGGAGAGTCCTTGCCACCATTTTGAGAGAACTCTGTTTACAAGTCAGCAAGATCAGTATGAGAGACTTGACCACTTTCTGTAAAAAGGGCTTGCGGACAAAATCATACCGCAGTTGAACAAACTTGTGTATAGGGAATTGAATATTATCATTGTATGCTTAAATTGCATTATGTGTCACAGAGGCCAGAATTCCAGTTTTTTGTTAGTTTGGTTTTTTACTGGACATGTAATTCCAAATGCTTCTGTAGTTTAACATTTCCAGATTTAGATGACAAATGAATTTTAAAAAAACCCAACAACAGATACTTTGCCTAACTTTGGCAGAAGTCTTTGGTTTTTCTGTCTGGCATTTATGCTTGACTCTGTGCTATTGTTTCAGTTTTGACAAATGCTTTCTGTTCTAGCAGTTGCCTGTAACTTCTAAAGCCAAATATTGTTACATGTAGTAGAAAAGTTGCCTTTTGTGCCAGCTAGTAAGTCAGAGTTATCCCAAGCAGCTGTTGATGTGTCAAAGTTTAGTAGTTGTTGGTTTTTTTCCAGGGAAGGAGAAGGGTTTATAAGAATCATTTATTGATTAAAATGTTTATACCCTGCCTTTCTTGGTAGTGTAATTTGACCATGGCAACAGATGCAAATAAAGTTACTGGATTGGAAAACCATGAGACAAGTTCTCTGTCTGCCATTACTAATGGTTCACTGGTATTTTTAATATTGGTTCAGAATATCAAATTGGTGTGAAAATCAGATTACATGATGACAGCACTACTTTTAGATTTCTTTTATTTTTTATAGGATTACGTACTTTGGGTGATAAGCAAAATATTGGTGTAGCTTTCTGATTGCAAACTGGTGAATTCTGATGTTAGGATGGGAAAGCACTTGGTAAACTGAGTTCTTGGACCCCCTTGTGTACACACACATGTGAATCAGGTTTCAGACTGCAGTCATTACTTTAATGTATCTGGTTTTCTTTCTGGCTATCAGAGAATATTCATTATTTTAAACAGTGGTTAATTATATACTTTTTAAAAAGTATCTTATGACACCTGAAGAATCAACACATTTACTGAAGCAAACTTTTAGCCTGTGATACTTATGCTTCAATAAGTAAATTGGTCCATAATGTGTTTTTGCTGCAACAGGTGAGCTACCACCATCACCTTGCCACAAACGAAAGAAGATATGTGCCAGGCTAGAATTGCTCAAGAGGATATGTTGCCCATTGTTGTTGGATGGTGGGAATGCCTTTAGTGTAGATCTTGGTTAAATGATGTTGTCCTCAGTGGGGGTTTTTACATCAAGTTGCCGCTGACTCATGGCAACCCTATAGGGCTTTCAAGGCAGACATTCAGAGGTGGTTCGCCATTAGCTGCCTCTGTGTAGCAACCTTAAAATTCCTTGGTGGTTTCCTATCCAAGTATTAACCAGGGCTGATTCTGAGATCTGATGAGATCGGATGGAGGAGAATGGTATTTAAGATCTGATTGCTCCTCTTGCTGCTTTTCTGCTGAGAGGAAGGATCTTGTGGAGATGACGGTGGGGTAGAGCAGACAGTTTTTCATTTTTACTTTGACACACCTAGAAGCATTGTTACAGAAAGTAAACACCCATTCCAGCGTTCTACTAAGCAGAAGGATTATAGGTACTAAATCTCCTCAGGCATGCTGAGGAGGACCTGCCTATTTTTCTTTTGTATTTTTGGAACTTGTACTATGGTTGTTTTGTGTTTGCCTGCAGAAAAACTGGTTTGTGTTCTTAATGTATCTGAATCAAAACACACTACTTTTTATTGTATGGAGTTTATTTCTGTTGGTCGGTTTATCTGTGTTAGCTGGCCTCGTCATTACTTGGTGTAGATCTTTAATTGTCGGCCACTCAAATCTGGATACAGTGAAAAGGAAGGAATTCTGTCTTAATTTAGGAATTACTACTTCTAATGACTGGAGATATTAAATTAAACTTTGATTATAAAAACCTATATTTACAGAAATAATGGGGGGCTCTTATCAGAAGGTAAATTTTGAGGATAACTTCATATGGTAAATCTAAGTTTTGCCATTGGATGTATTCTCAATAGAGAGTTGCAGCTAATTGACTATCCATTGAGTGTACTAATGGTACCCATATAATGTAATACTAATATGATGAGCATAGAATATTCTTGGCATTCAGCCACTGTTTTTGGCAGTCAGCCACTGTTCCAGAAGACTGAAGAATAGCAAACATTATACCAATTTTTAAAAAGAGGGTCCAGAGGGGAACCAGGAAATTACAGGCCAGTTAGCCTAACATCTGTCCCAGGGAAATTAGCAGAAACTGTAATCAAACAGAATTAGTAGGCACATAGAAGCAGGAACACAACCTGCTGAGTGAAAATCAGCATGGCTTCTGCAAAGGGAAGTCCTGCCTCACCAGCCTTGGGGACTGTGAGTAAACATGTGGGTAATGGTGACTCAGTAGACATACTCGGATTTTCAATAGCCATTTGGTAAGGTTCCTCATCAAAGATTCCTGAGTAAGCTTAGCAGTCATGGGTTAAGAGTACCTGTCCAGCAGGGCACTTCTTATGTTCATTCACTTTTTTCTAGTATTTTTTTATTTATATCTTTTCTCCCTGATTGGGATCCAAAGCAGCTTATCACATCGTTCTTCCCTCTTCTACTCTACCCTCACAACAACGACCATATGAGGTAGATTAGGCTGAGAAATTGTGACAGGTCCAAGGTTAACCAGTGAGCTTTCGTTGCAGAGCGGGGATCTGAACCCACTTCAAGTCCTAGTCTGACATTCTAACTGATACACTGGCTCTTTTGCAAGTGTTGTCCAGCATTTTAACAAGACATGTAAAAATTGTAACATGTGAAAATCTATTGGTTTCTTTCTGGACTATATCTGGGTATGAGAGTAATTGCAGGCAAAGCTATTAATGTATCAAGTAGACTAGCTGATAACAAGCATGGGGGGGAGGCTGAGTGATACAATTAGAATTGCAACTTTGGCTGTTAGCTTTTCAAGAGTTCTACCTCTGCCTTAGTTCAGTAGATCTAGGCATGTGTGCGCTCACTTGGCCATGTCTGTGCTGAGAATCTGTTGGCTTGTGAGTATTTAGCACACTGAATAATGAAAGTTGACAGCAGGTAAGTAAGAGCTTCTTATGTATTTGTCTTTTGTTCGCACCATGTAGTGGTGGTGTGATGTAAAGGCCTCAAAAACATGGTGAGTACCTCAAAAGTTACCATAGGTTTTGCTTTGTGATTAATGTGGCTGGCAGCTTGTCCTGTACTCTTTATGTATAATTTCCAGGGCCAGCTCCAAGTTCCAGTAGGCCCTGAACAACAGAATATAAACCTTGGTACCAACCTTTCCTCATCTCGCCACTCCTCTTCACCACCTTGGCTCCACCCTTTGTCCTCTAGTCACACCCTTTGTACCTACAGAAGACTGAACAGGCCAGTGGGAAGCAAGAATCTCCCTTCCCCATCTTCAGCTGAGCAGCAGCTGTAACTAGGATGGAGCAGGCAAGCTGGAGGAAGTGACCCACTTTCTTCCTGGTTCATCACTGGGCAGCCAACTCTGTCCTCCTCAAGATTAAGGGGAATGGAAGGAGAATGGTGCAGGCTGGTGGGAAGCAGCAATCCCCCTGCCCCAGTCCTCAGTGGAGCAGCAGCCACAAGGAGAGGCGACCAGGCCAATGGGAAGTGGTAATCTACTTCTCCCCTACTGCTGCATCCTCCTTGTGGCTGCTGCTCTGCTAAAGATGGGGCATAAAAACCAGGGTTGTTGCTAACTTGCACCTGTCAAAAATGGCAGTGCTCAGTGCTGGTGGTGGCAGTTGTGGTCCCCCAGGCAGCCCCTGGGAACTGACAGGTGTCTTGCCTCACTGACTGCTGACGCTAGCCCTGACCATTGTTTTTAAGACCTGGTTGGACAGTTGTTAGAAATTACATGTACCTTCTGTCTACTGGTGCAAGAATCTTGCTGGAGTGTTTAATTAGTATGCTTGGGACTAATGAGCACAGTCAGGAGTGTGCAGGTCCTTGTTGTGCAACTGTGGCTTATCTTTGCAGTCCTTCCACGCTTGACAGCTAAGTAAGAGACCTACAGTTCCTCTTTGCTAGCTAATGGACTCTTGTTTGGAGTGTTTTCATGTTAAGGTAGGAAGCTTTTGTTGCCTAACATACCAAATGAAAATTTACCTTGCAAGGTATCCTGATGCCTAATAACCAGATGAGAGGAGGGTCCTTGCTGGCAAGACCTGGATTACAAAAGAATGAGAATGCATTATGCGGTTGTTTCTTTTCCTGTAGCTCTGCATGACTACAGTGCAGTGGGCTGCCTTTAGAAAAAAGAGCTTTTGGGGCTTCCTGCATTTCTGCTGGAGGAGCTAAAATTAGCTATTTTGCCACCAATGTTTGAAGTGTCTGTCATAGAAGGTATCTAGAATCTGAGATGAAGATGTATTTTCTTCTGTAATTAAATTTTTCTTGTAAATTGGCACACTGTTTATCCACTGCATGTGGGAATGTTGCTGTGTTGACAGATTCTGTGTGCCAGGCTTAAGTCAAAATATTTTTTAAATAAACAGTTCATAAGTTTCCTTGTTTAGCTTGGAAGGCATTTAGGTTGTCTGTACATAGTGAGATTAAGTTTTCTGAGCTGGCAGAAATCAAGATCTGTAAAGAGGATTTAACAGCTTCCAATGTCATGGAAGGAAGCTTAAAATAATTTCAATATCAAAGCCAGGTAAGAACCATATACAAATGATTGAGCAATGATTTTAAAATATGGTGATCAATTATTACAAGATGATCAGATAAAATCATGACTAAGGGATTTATTAGTAGAAGGCCATTGACTGATGTAATATGGTATTTAAATGAGGGTATCAAGAGCTTTCATTTAAGGGGTAGATCTAAAGATTGGGTTTCTCTTATATATGATACCCCCTCAGTAAACAGAAATATTTCAAAAAAAATGTTACTCAGGAGGCACTTAACAATATTATCCTTTCATGTCTTTTGTGGTTTTTGTTTGTTTTGTTTATGTACATATCCCTTTGAGCTAAATCAGTTAATCTTGAATTCTGGGAAAAATTAATTTAAAACATATATTTGGGATGATAACCCTTCCCCCAAGGTAGCACTGAAAACACTGGTGTGCCTTCATAATAGAGGTAGTCTGTGGTACCTGATAATTTTATATTACAGAGAAGTTAAACTGGCAGATACAAAGGAATGCTTTATAGAGGATGAAGATACGCTTATCATGGAATCCTCATTGGGAAAAGCCCTAAACTGGAAAGACCTGATTTGGTTCCAGCAAAGTGGGTTAGAGGGGAATAATAAGTTAGAGGCAATTAAACTTCTCCTTTTTCTGTTTTTTTCCTTTCAAATAAGGAAATGAATTATAGCATTCCTGAAAAAGCATAATTGTCTGAGATCAAAAACTGTTTTTGAATATAGGAACAACTCAGTTTCTAACAGTGACACTTCAAGTTTGTCCACTGTTAAGTTAGTCTTAACTCGGTTTGCAGCAGCTGCTAAAATATTGGAAGAAAAAGTTGACCCCCCCCCCAAAAAAAAAAGATTAGCTCAATCTTGTTTAGAATGTAATTTAATTAGCTTAATATAGTTTGGTGTAGTGGTTAAATATGCAGACTCTAATCTGGGAGAACTGGGTTTGATTCCCCACTCCTCCGTTTGCATCTGCTGGGTGACCTTGGGCAAGCCATAGTTCTGGCACAGGTGTTCTTGAAAAAGAGCAGCTTCTGTCAGAGCTCTCTCAGCCCCATCTACCTCACAGGGTGTCTGTTGTGGGGAGGGGAAGGGAAAGGAGTTTGTAAGCCCCTCTGAGACTCCCTTGGGTAGTGAAGGGCAGGGTATAAATCCAATCTCCTCCACCACCACCACCACCAGTGGAGAAATAATTTGCAGTGTACAAACAAGTTCTGTGAATGTTGAACAATTTTTGTTATGTATAGGAATGGAGGAAGGAGACAAAACATATTCTTTTGCTTTATATGAATTGTTATAAATGGGTGTTTTATTATCTTTTAGCTGTTAAGGCATTATGTAATATAATCTTTGCAGTTCAGTCTTACATAAATACATGAAACTGCTTTACACTGAAACAGACCCTTGGTCTATCAAAGTCAGTATTGTCTACTCAGGCAAACAGTGGCTCTCCAGGGTCTCAGGCAAAGGTCTTTTACATCACTTACTACCAGATCTTTTAACTGGAGATTCCAGGGATTGAACCTGGGACCTTCTGCATGCCAAGCAGATGCTCTAACACGGAGCCACAGCCCCTCCCTTAAAAGCCTGAGACCCACTTTCAGTATAAAGCAGCTTCATGTGTTTACATGTGGGACCTGACCTGAATCAGACCATCACAGTCAGTATTGTCTATGCAGACTTGGCAGCAGCGCTCCAAGGTCTCAGGCTGAGGTCTTTCACATCACCTGCTACCTGATCCTTTTAACTGGAGATGCCAGGGATTGAACCGGGGACCTTCTTTGTGCCAAGTAGATCCTCTAGCACTGAGCTACACCCCCTCCTGTAAATAAGAGGTTTTTACTTGCTGTGAAGTTAAGAGTAGCTTGACCAAAACTTGGTTGTATACTTTGAAATAACTTTTAAATTTTTGTTAAACCTTTAAAAATGTTTTATGTGTTTATTTTCTCTTTAGGGGACCCATGTACTGTCTCTTCTCAGCTTGAGCTAGAAGAAGCTTTTCGGTTGTATGAGCTGAATAAAGATTCTGAACTTCAAATACATGGTACAGTATCACTTATGTTAATAACCAAGGTGCAGTTTACCTTTCCTTTAGTCTGAATGTATCTAAACTCTAAAATGAGACTATTCAGTTCTTCCCTGTGTATTTTAAATGTTCTTTACCTTATGTAAAGATTGAGGAAGTAGTGTGAATGTGCCTTTGCTCAATTTAGCTATGGTAGGGTTCATTTTGTACCTTATACTTAACTGCTTACTCTGTTACCATACACAGTTTTTTGAGAGGGGATATACAGAAACACTTGTAATAATACCAGATTTTATTCGAATCCGTATTTATTATAGTTCAGGAGAAGGTTATTTGCATATTTCCTCCCTCTGTTGACTACTAATACATCATTCTGCAGTCCTGTGGATTGGATAAAACTGCAGTTGGGCATTCTTGAGCCTGGCAAGCAAGATCTTCCCATACGTGAGGGCAAGCATTTGCCGTGGCCCCAGAGGCCTTTCAAATGTTGTACAAGAGGGCAGGAGGATGGTATTTTCTTCAGCACAGCACAGCCATGGAGCATGGGGCTTTTCCTGGTGTTAGCACTACTATGAGCAATGTAAGCCGTCCGTGTGCATGAACGCACAGGTTGCTGCATTCTGCTTTTTCAATGTTGTAGTTTATAGGATTGTTCTTTTTATTCTTGTAGAGATGGCATATTGGGGAAATACTGTTTGCAATCCAAACAGCTAGAAACCTGACACTTGTAGAATTAAGCTTTTATTCTTTCTAAAGTGGAGATTTAATAAAAACTGAGCTACACATGATCATTGGCTCATTTTAATGTGCTGTGAAAAAAGATGCTCAAGTTAATGTGCTTGTAAGAAATAATTTAATTTTAGGTATATATTTACAAATGTGAGCAAAGCCTTAGTGTTCTCAAAAAGCCTTGTCTTTGTAACTTTCTGTTATGCTCCGATGTTCCTGTTTCCTAAAATGGAATTCAGATTTTAATCCATCATAGTGGGAGAGCTGACAGGAGATATTTGGAAAAAATACAGATTAGGTCACATAAGTGCAATGACAATCTAAATTGTCCCATTAGGAATTGCAGCTCAAAGACAACTGCAAGTGTATGGCAGGATATGGCTGAGATGTCTTTACACTACAAGATCTCTCCTTTGCCCTGTCTATCTGCCTTTGGGACTATGGTCCTGAACAGCATGACTCTATTTTTCTTGACGTGTGTTTTATGCTGTATTGTATATCTTGTCCCATCTGCTTGAAATAAGTTTATCTGGTATGACTATCTTTCCTATAGTTTTTCCCTGTGTACCAGAAAGGCCTGGAATGCCATGTCCAGGAGAAGACAGTAAGTAAAGTCACTTAATTTGGATACATGTTTTTATGTATGAGATCAGAAGTAGAATATATACTTAAAATGAAACACGTTTCTTAAATTTTGTCTATTCTACTGATTAATTTAGAACAGCTATGATACTTTCCCACCCCTGCCATCCCACATAGTTTATCATTGTGGACTCTAAGATAACCATTTTTTTAAGGAATTTTTTCAATTGGCTCAACTGGAATAAGTCTGCATATGGTGGCACTGGTAATATCTTGAGGTTATGCATTGCTTAAAGTTATGTATTTTTCTGTGCTGTTCTGTGCATTATTGAATAGAAAAGGAATTGGCAAAATAAACCCCATCAATGAACAAAGTTAATTTGAATGCATAGGCCCTTAACTGGAATTAAACTCAAACCAGTATGGATCAGTGAATATCTTTCCTTCCAGTATTCAGTTTGCCTAGCCATTAGAGGCTGAGACATTTGCTACCTTGCCTAATTTTGTGCATACTCCTTTGTGGAAGTGTATTTTAGTTATGATTTTGTGTAAAGTGCTGAATATACACAGCGTTAACAATTTTTAAGATCTAGCAATGGCTACCAAATCTAAATCTATTCAGATATTACTGGTTTGCATAATTCTTAAGATCTTGCAAAGGCAGGCTAAGTTTGATACTGAAAGATAAAGCATGACATCCAGTCTGTACTTTTTGCACAATAATTTTCCTTTTGGGTTGACTCTCCCCCCCAGAGTCTATTTATCGCCGTGGAGCACGGCGATGGCGAAAACTCTATTGTGCAAATGGTCATACTTTCCAAGCCAAGCGATTCAACAGGGTAAGTTTTTATATACCAGCCTTTTCATGTACAGCCACAGCAGCAAAAAGTCTTATGGCGCTTTAAGAATCCTCTAAGGTGGCGTAAGCTTTTGAGTCAGCACTCACTTCATCTTAAGAAGTGAGCTCTAACTCGTGAAAGTTTATACCACAACACATTTGCAAGTCTTTAATGCTTCAAAAGATTTTCTTTGCTTTGGCTGCAGCAGACTAACATGGCTATTCATCTGGAATTTTCCTTCTGTAGTTGCCCTTTTGGAATATCACCTTTTAAAAATGGACTTTGTCCTTCTATGGTGTCAAATAAACTGGTTCCTTTATACAGGAACTGATAATAAGAAATCAGGCTTTTAATCTATGAAGCTTACTTTGTCGGTTTCCAGCTTGATCAGTGTTTGTTTTTAATGTAATAACACCTTATCTGAAGGACCTTACTTCTGATAATCCTGAGTTTTTCATCTAAATGTACTCTAAACAGAGAAGAAAAATATGCATAAAAACTCTCTTCAGCCACTGGCTTGGTCACATATACATGTAATCTGCTTGAACATGAGCCCCGTCACATTTTGGTAACCTTTAAAAGAACTTGGTAAGGCAAAAGCCAAGTATCTTGCTTAAAAATGGGAGCTAGAGCTAGTCTGTGATCATCAGGAGACATTAAATGTGGCGGCTGCATCATTCTCTTCCTTCCCTGGCCCCTGCCCTGGTTGCTAGAAATCTTGATAAGGGAAATGGAACTCTTCCTGTGATGGGTTGCGATGGGAACCACTTCTTGGGGTTGTAATAGTTTGAGAACTAAAGATCTAGTTAACTGTTAATCTGTGATCACTTGTCTGTTTTTCAGAGAGCTCACTGTGCCATCTGCACTGATCGGATATGGGGATTGGGACGTCAGGGATATAAATGCATCAACTGTAAACTACTTGTTCACAAAAAATGTCACAAACTTGTCAGCATAGAATGTGGCCGACATGCAATACCACCAGTAAGTGATACTGATGGCTGTAATTCCTCTGAAAGCCGTGTTTTATACATAATTAAGACCAATGGTGGCTCACTTCAGGTTTTGATGTCTAATGCCTTGCTGCCTCATTAGAAAATAACACCACATCTTGTTCTCTAATGGAAATGTGTCTATTTTCCTAGCTGTGGCACAAATATAATACTATAATGTTCTGCGTGGTTTTGCTAAATATTTGTAGCAGCTGACTGAAGGATCCAAATGAAGGATATGTGGTCTGTAGATTTCATAACAAACCAGGTTGTCTGATTTAAGAAATAGCTTCTCCATTGTGAACATTCTCCATTATGAACTTTCAATAGTACCCTCCAGAAGCAGAAAACATGGTTAGGATCTGAGCTGTAATTACTTTCAGAAAGCTGGAAATTGTGACCTTACCTTTTGACTCTTGCAGGATCCTCTAATGTCAATGGATCAGTCAGCCGTGCATCACGATAACATAGAACCTGGTAAGCTCAGAACTTTGAAAGGGCCAGATGTTAACATCAGTTAAAATGTCTTCTGCTTTACTACTTGCAGGAGCATTTTGAACCATTTTTTGTAATTCCCATTAAAGTTAAAATTTCGGTTCTCATTTTGGTGGCTAAAATAGTGACTATTTCCTTATGTTCTCAATTTACACTTATCTGGGGAACAGATTGTTTAATTACACTGCAGATGTACAGGATTGGATTGGATTCAGTGCTTCCGTAAATAGAGTGATGTTCTCAGGAGCAATGTTCATTGATGCCCCTCTCCTCCCCCCTCTTGGTGCTGTTTGAATTTTGGGACCCTCCAGAGCAGTGTGACATGGGGGGGTGGAGCGGGATATGTCAAGATGTAGGGCCTTGGCAAGAATTACACTCTTCCCACTTACTGAGCACCTGCTTTTCTGGGCATGCAAAGCACTGCAGGGAAGGGAGCCAATAAAAATCTCTTCCATGAACTTGCTCTGTTTCACAGAAGCATTGGATCCAACCCGTAATGCTTGAAAAGCTGCGAAGGAGGGACAGAGTCATACTTTCCCATTAATATGGGAGCTTGAAGAGAAGCTTAAAGAAGGTGACCTCATTCATATTTTGATAATATTGAGGAACACATAGAACGCCCTAGCAGATGTGCTCTTTGTATCCTATCAGCCTGCAGTTCTATTCATCCATGAAAACATAGTCATCAAGCACTTGCAAAAAGAATCCTTTTAATTTTATCTTCTTACAGATTTGTTTCCTTTTCTTTTGTGTTATTTAAACTCTTAGTGATACCATATAATCCTTCAAGTCATGAAAGTTTGGACCATGTTGGTGAAGAAAAGGAGGTATACTAACTTTTTTCTATGCTTGGACCCAACCAAATTAATATATTTCCATTTTTTAATAAACTTTCATGTAACTTTACTATAATGTTCTGCTCTAACAGTATTTATTCACAACTTTTGGTAGTATCTGTCTGAAAGGATTAATACTTTAAACTGCCTGGAAACTGTTTCTTATATGTATCCATCTACCTACAGGCAACAAGCATTCGAGAAAGCGGCAAAGTATCTTCCAGTCTCGGTCTGCAAGATTTTGATCTACTTCGAGTTATAGGAAGAGGAAGTTATGCAAAAGTTCTTCTTGTTCGGTTAAAGAAGACGGAACGCATTTATGCCATGAAAGTGGTGAAAAAAGAACTGGTCAATGATGATGAGGTGAACAATATTTGGGTTATTGCAAAATTTACAAGTCCTTAGTTATCTGAGTGATAGTTCTGTTATCTGCCTCTCTTTTCCGACTGGCACTCAAGTAGTCCTTCATTCCAGGACTCATGGAATATCCTCAAAGCTTATGCTGTTTTTCATGAGATGGAGGAGTCTTTTGTTGAACATGCAGTATTACCTCTTTCTGCATGCCTGGGGAGTGCACACACCCCTGTTGAGTTTGCAAGTAGCCTTTTGTGCTGCTTTTATGATCATAATGTGCAGGGGGGTGGTTAGCTGCTTCACTTTTAAGAGTAGTGAAGGAATTCATCTGGAGCCAAATGCTTTCCTATGCTTTATCTTGCTGGTTTTAGAAATGGATGTGGCTTTTCCTTTTCAGGATAATTGTACACTTAGTCTTGGGGATGTTAGCCCTGTCTGCATATTCGAAATTGTGTCGCTGCTTATCTCCTGTTGAGTTTAAACTGGGTCATCTTAATATATGGAGCCCTTCCTGCAACAGGTTTACTGGCAAGTACCAAAGGTATTGCAGAGAAATCTGACTCTGTATGTTTTCTCTAATAGGATATTGATTGGGTTCAGACAGAAAAACATGTCTTTGAGCAGGCTTCAAATCATCCTTTCCTTGTTGGCCTTCATTCTTGTTTCCAGACAGAAAGCAGGTAATCATGCAGTGAGGTATTGCATTATTTTTATTGTAAGGTTCTTTCATACCTTATCATAATATTTCTCTAACATAAGACATAATTAGTGGGTTCTATAAAGAGGATCCAAGGAAGATCAGTAAACAACATGTTATCACTGTTGAAAAATGTGGCGGATCAGTTTAGCCCAAACAAAAAACAAAGGGGAATAGTGAAAATGTTCTGAAAACATGTATTCCTGAGATTGTAAGAGTGATGGGGATGGGTAGAAAGCAATCCTAAAGTCAAATAGGATGCCTTCATTATAATTCCGTATTTCCCTTTTCAGGCTGTTTTTTGTTATAGAGTATGTAAATGGAGGAGATCTCATGTTTCACATGCAGCGGCAGAGGAAATTGCCAGAAGAACATGCCAGGTATGTCCGTGTCTATTTTGAGGTCTGGTTTTGTACAGTTCTGAGACAGCAAAGTTTTTTTTGATACATGCAGTTTCTCCTTTTAACTTCAAAATGTTTCGTCAGCCAGCTTCTTGAAATGAAGTGATTGCTGATAGTCTCCAGTTAAACTAATAACCAAATCTGATTTCAGTTTCGGCACTTGCAGAATTGCCACCATTAGTATGAGATGACTTTTTCAGATTTAACTTCACACGTTTCACTAGTCTCTCACAAGAATTCTGTAGTTTCTTACGATCATCTTTTTAAACAGGTCCTCCACAGTCTTACATTCAAGTACATGGCAATATACTCCTAAAGAGCTGCTTTCTACATGTCCCTCCCTAAACTTCGCTGCTGTTACACCCACATCTGTGCCTCTGTTCCCTGCCCATGGGTTGACAGATTTCCTAAGCTGAAGTATGCCAGGGTCTTCATATCGACACTGTAGTTACATTATGCAGGCTGGCTCTTGCCTTTCCTCCTGTGGTATGCGGATTGCTGCTGTCACTTCCTTCTTCTGACTGCTTCCTTGGCTTGCTTTTTTCCAACATGGTTGAGAGAGAAGACTTTGGGAAGATGAACTTCCCTGATCATTATTTGCATACATACATTTTTTGATACCCATTTTCTCAAATCTTCCTAGTCTTAGCATTCAAGCTCAACAGTGGTATTTTGAACACCACTATTCGTTTGATTGGGTCATAACCAATACCACTAGGAGACTGATAATTTAGGCATTTAATTTTTTCCCTATCATAACAAAAAGAATAATTAATACTTGTTGCAGTTAGGGTGAATCAGTGCTAGACATTATTGGGGTGCAGCTAGAGGTGATGGTCAGGTTATTGTCAGTGATTGTGATCAAATGCTTTTAGTGTTCAAGGTGGTTTATAAACATTCCTTTTACAGGAGTTCAGTGGGGTGTGGGGGGGGTGGAGAGCAGCTTTCCAAAGGCTATATAGTGAGTCTGTGGCATAAAGGAAACTTGAACAAGGTATTGTAGGATCACTTCTTATTCTATTAGCCCCTTCTCTGTGCCTCTTTCAGAGTGTGCTTGTCAAGACTTTGCTTTCTCAAAGACATAGAACTTGAATTGCTTTTTTTGCTATGGAGTAAAGGAATGGTGCAGAGAGAGAAAGAGCTTGCAAGAGAGACACCTTAACAAATAACACGAGGAAAGTAGTATACATATTGCCCAAGAAATGTAGAAGCCTGGATTCTAGGCTTCAGTAGAAGTCTTGGAATGACTAGTAAGTTTAGAAGGGGAGAACAGCTTCATGAAGTTTGACCCTAATGGACCTTTTTAATGCTTTCCTTCTAGGTTTTATTCAGCAGAAATTAGTTTAGCATTAAACTATCTTCATGAACGAGGGATAATTTATCGGGACTTGAAGCTGGACAATGTGTTGCTGGATTCTGAAGGACACATCAAGCTGACTGATTATGGCATGTGCAAGGTAAGAGGCAAAATCCCTGAACATCTCAAAGTGTAGCTATTCATAACTCACGTACCTTATAATTTCCTCATTCTGCTCTCCAAAACCCCTTGAGAGCCCCCCCCCAACCCTTCTCCTTTTGCATTCAATAGTTAAAGTGCAGGGGTGATGTATTCTCAGTCTTGTATGCACTGGATAGAATTATGAGCTTCTGTTCCATAAGCATTCTTTGAATGAATTTATTATGGCTGTAATATACCAAAGGATACGCCATTTTGACATGCACTGAGTTACAGTGATAACTGAGGTAACTACTGACTGTCACCTTTTCAAACATTTCAGTTTTTTTCACCCTAGAATTAACATTCCAAATTCTGAGCTCGTTGAATTTTTTCCAGTCATGAATTTGTGCAGTTTTACACATATGGGCCATAGTGTCTGAATCAATGATGGAAGGTAAAGGAAGAAGGGCTGTGGCCAGAAAGAGAAGCGGCAGAAGACTCATATTTAGACTTGAACATGCAGCAACTTGTATGGGTTTAATAACATACAAGTTTTCACACAAAGTCACTAGAAGGTGAAAGTGCAAAGAGTAATGGCATGTGGAATGAACTGTACCCCTTCCTTTCCTATATAAAAACTACCACATTCATAGAGTCTGGAGAATAGCATACATTCAAATGTCATACAGTGCTGCTTGAAACCATTGATCTAACTTCTCTAGGAACTAGAAGAAACCTTTGAACGATAAGATTTTCTCTCTCTGTCTCCCCCTCCCCTTTCATTTTAAAAGGAAGGATTAAGGCCTGGAGATACAACCAGCACTTTCTGTGGCACTCCCAACTATATAGCTCCTGAGATTTTGCGTGGAGAAGATTATGGTAAATCTTGCTGCTTCCGGCAATACCATTATTGCACAGAACATGAGCAGCTAATATTCAAAATAATTTGGATTTCAACCTTGTGTTTTGCTGCCCTGTGACATTTCATGGTCAGTGAACAGAGTTCCTTATGGAAATCTCATTCTCGTGACAGTGACCAAAGAAAACCAGCTAGATCAGAGTCCACTAGCACCTTATAGACCAACGGGGGTTTTCGGGTATATATTTTCAAGAGTCTGTACTCCCTTCGTTGGATACCAAAGAAAACCATGTACTCTTAAAGCAGATTCTTAGGTCCAGGTCTTCTTCTAAGCAGTTGTGTAGTTGTACCTCTCCGATGGCTCCATCGTGCCCAAGAGTCAATATGAGAACCCCCAGCAGTTTTCAGGATTCAGACTTGTGCAACACAGGAAGCAACTGGGGATATGCATTCAGACATTAATCAAAATCTGAATCGAAAATGCTCCCATTAATTTTTTCCCCATCATGCTACTTACATTAGTGAAAGTAACATTTGGCCCTGGCTGTTCTACTGCAAGATCATCTAGTTTAGAGTTTAAAATGGACAGAGTGAGAGAGAGAGATTACTCAGCATGTATATTTACCAAAGACTGCATGTGCATTACCATTTAATACATCTTGCAGGAGAATAAGTAGTGGGGCTAGATTATATAAGAAGGAGGCAACCACTTCACTACTATACTGTCTGTACAGGCAGTTTCAGCAACACTTTCATGATCACTGTGGTCCCATATTCACAAAGTGCAGATGAGAGAGTAGACCTCGTATGGGATGTACCACCTCAAGGAGGGATGATTCCCATGATTTTGAGCATTTCTCCATATACATAGAAAACCTGCCATGTCGAGATCAGGCGCAGAAGTTCTAGTCAAGTCTGCTGACATGCTAGATTGCTTGGTGCAAGAGAGTTTTGTGTATATGAGGGCATTCAGTCATCTGAACCTCCAGCTGGGCTCTAAGTGAAAAGGCCCAAATAACAGGTTTATCATCTCACGTACTTGTTTGTGAGAGCTAGATCTATGTTTCAAATGATTTGTGGATCACTATAGGGAATTAGGAAGCCACTTCACCATTTTTGTTGTTCAGTCGCACAGTCTACTCCGACTCTACAAAAATTCTCTTGAAGCAGCTTCAGCTCTGTAGAGTGATCTGAATACATGAGGTACAAACAGAATGAGGATCTCTCACCTTTGTTTGCCCAGACAGGCATTAGTAATATTTAGGATATCTCTTAAAGAATGATAATCCATTAGTATTAAATGCTGACACTAAATTCTATTCCATTTTATCTTAAATTGTAGGATTTAGTGTGGATTGGTGGGCTCTGGGTGTGCTGATGTTTGAAATGATGGCAGGCAGGTCGCCCTTTGATATCGTTGGGAGCTCTGATAACCCTGATCAGAACACAGAAGACTATCTTTTCCAAGGTTAGTGTGGAACATCGTATGGCAGAATTCTGACCTAGTTCTGTTAGCCCATCCTCGCTGAATGATCTTGTGTATCAACTGCAGGAAATGGAAAGATAGCAGTTGAACAGCATTTATAGTGGAGGAATACTTGCCTCTTGACAGAGAAGATTATTTACATTGTACCTCATGTTTACTGAATGTATAGTATAGAAGAAGTCTAAAATAACATATTTTGAAGGTGGTTGTATGGAGTTAAACTTGTTTTCTGTGGGTTGAATCCAGTGACTCTTCTGTAAAGTCTTAATCAGTCATTGGAACCAGCTCATGTATGTTAATTTTAAGAAGTCTTTGATTTGGTGTGTGTAAAAATTAAAAAGACAAATTATTGGAATTTAAATGCTTTAAATTTTTCTCCTAGTTATTTTAAACCATTATACCATTATTATTACCCTAGTTATTTTGGAGAAGCAAATTCGTATCCCTCGATCTCTTTCTGTGAAAGCAGCAAGTGTTCTAAAAAGCTTCCTTAACAAGGTAAGAAGTTGTGCCATATTTTGGTCAACAATTTGTTGCCAAATCCCCATTTTACAGATATGAAACTGACATAACAAAATTAGGTAGAAACTAACAGGCTAATAGCCCGATCCAGTGATTTCTGTGGGTTTAGATTGGAATAACTCTGCATAGAATTGTGTTGTCTAACATGTTTGGGAAAGAATATCATGAGCTCTTGCTATACTTATTTACAATATTTAAATGTCTGCCTTGTTCCTGAGCAAATAAGATGGCTTTTTTTCAGCCCAACGTTACACATACAAACTTGTACACTCTTCATCAGGATCTACTCCAAAATACTCATGCATAGGATTTTGTAGCCTTCACTTTCAGATATTTCATTAGCTTGTGAGTCTCAGTGCATCCTGACTGAGTCTTTGTTCATTGCACCTTATCCATTTTGCCTTTGCCCTTTTAATCTAAATTAAATATTAACATAAACAGTATGAATATTAACTTGAACATGACCATTAAAGCTGCAGTATAAACTCTGCATAAATTTTTCCTGTAATAATAATAATGTAGTATTGGCAGTATGATGGGGTAATATTTATGTAGCACTTTCAGTTCAAAGAACTTCATGTACATTATCACAGTACTCCTTGAAAGAGCCCTGTAATGTAGGCCAATATGATCCCCAGATTGGAGGTGAAGGGCTGAGTTTAAGAGAATGTAGCTTACCCACAGCTGCCTAGTGAGGTTGTGGTGAAGATGAGATTTGAACTGGCAACTTCTTAGATCAGATTCTATATACTGAAATGTTTGACCTTGTTTAGCCGGTACATCCTTGTCAGATGCAGCCATCCATCACTCTCAGGAAATGAAAGGACAGCAGTTAAGTGACAATTTCTACTACAGAATAACTTGCCTCCTTGTGAATAAAACGACATATGCTGTGCCTCATGTTCACTGAATGTAACCTCTTGTTCACTGTGTTGTACCAGCTCCACCAGTGAAGGGCTAGGTGAAGGTCCTGACTTCACTGAGACCATACTTTTTCAAGATTATTGTGGTTGGGGTACACCAAGATCACCATGGTAAAATGGTTTCTCTGTGGATGTTGTAACATGTCTTTTAATGTTAACAATCAAACAATTAAAACAAGACTTTACTTCCAGAGAGAACTATCATAATGCCCCTGTATAAATCAATGGTACGTCCTCATTCGGAGTACTGTGTACAGTTCTGGTCACCACACCTCAAAAAGGATATTATAGCATTGGAAAAAGTGCAGAAAAGGGCAACTAGAATGATAAAAGTGTCCTATGAAGAAAGGTTAAAGCGCTTGGGGCTCTTTAGCTTGGAGAAACGACGGCTGAGGGGTGACATGATCGAGGTTTATAAGATTATGCATGGGATAGAGCAGGTAGAGAAAGAAGTACTTTTCTCCCTTTCTCACAATACAAGAACTCGTGGGCACTCCATGAAATTGCTGAGCGGTCAGGTTAGAACAGAT